AATTCACAATCAACTCATTTGCAAGCATATCCCATTAAAATAAGGTCGTAAATTGTTCACCGCGAACATAATGACAGAAATATAATTCATGTCTCTATAAATAATATTATTATGAACCGTAACAAACCCGTTACTTTCGAATCAAAAGAGGTTTTATTTGTTTTATCTTGTCTCCGATATGTAGGACGAGATGAAATCTGGTTCAGGCCATTATAAGTGTTTTGTACAATAATAAATATGTTTAACAATAGTAAGGGAATCGCTGGATGTAGATCATTTCCAAACAGCCGAAGAAGGAAGAAGGAGAGAGAGAAGGAAGTCATTTGTCACAACCACTGCTCTACTCGCCGGTGTCTTAAGAGGCAATAAAAGAACTACTCATTTAACAGACACCGGACTGCAGCGTTAGACAAACCTGACTGGGCCTCCTTTGCATAAAACGGATTTATTAGAATTAGCTTAGTATAGCTTGCGGATCAGAGATCATAGTTCAAAAGGTTCAGAGAACATTGTTGTCCGTTCTGTGACAAATAGTCCCTAAACCTACGTCCTGCCTAGCTTCACTGACGGATAGACTGACAGACTATTATTTATTTCATATTTGTTGACGTTTCAAAACTACCAAATTATGGTTTAATTGAAATAAATGCTTTTGAGTTTGAGTTTGAGTTCGATCTAGAAGCGAATGCGAAGCGTTGCGACGCGGCGCGAAAACAACAAACTGTCGAAACCTATTGATGTGTCCTACGTGACAACCCGCCCGTGGGATGCGAAAATATGCGAACGCAATCAGTCGGTTTGATATTTTCGCGCGAACTGTCACATTTGGATGCAGTACTGTTATGTTTTTGTTTAGTTATAATGTCGGAACAAAAACGAAGCGCCACGATTCGCATGCACTTTTTTTTAAAGAGGGAAAATCATCGAATGTCTTCTCCCGCCTAGGTGAGGCGAGAGGGAGTGTCAGACTCTTACTGACTAAAAACCACCCCGTTCCTACTCATGCACTTCGGGCCCCGGTAACCCGTTAGGTTCTCCGCGGATGCACTTAGGACTTAGCCGTTGCGTCGCACCGCATCGTATTAAATTCGCGTGTCACCGCTTCATAATCGCGTTTGCTTTGAGATGCCTCACGCAGGACGTAGAGTTAGTCAATCCTTACAACACGCCACCCCCGCAGAAAGACAAGGAGTAGGTAAATGACGAATGAATTATAACATAACATAACATCACGCCTTTTATCCCCGAAGGGGTAGGCAGAGGTGCACATTATGCCACTGTACAATGTAACACCCACTTTTCACTATTTATGTTATGAGTCCCATGTAATAGGGGGTGAGCCTATTGCCATATACCGGGCACAATTCTAGACTCCGTGCTACTACTGAGAATTTTTTTTTAAAAACCCAGTAATACTTTGCCCGACCCGGGAATCGAACCCGAAACCCCTTGCCCGGCAGTCGCACTTGCGACCACTCGGCCAACGAGGCAGTCAGAGGGCAGTCGAGTCAGAACAAATGAATTCTACTCTAATATATTCTTATTTTCAATACAAACAACAGTCCTTGCATAATATTAAAAAACCTGACTTGCCCTGAAAGGGCCAAAATACGTGGTTTGACCTTGAAAGACCCTCTGTACCTACAAAGCCACAATAAAAGTGGCGTAACGTACCGCGGCAGCTTTTAATAGTCTGTTTATTTATCTTTTGAAAGGGAATGTTGCTTGAATTACATAAGATTAGGTTTGATATTTCAACGAAGAGCAAGCATCAACAAGAGACTCCATTTGTAATACATTTTGTCCACCGGGTACACAGTATAGATGCATTGAAGTGAATGCCTCGAGTGGCCGCAAGTGCGAATGCCATGCAAGGCGTCTCGGATTCGATTCGATCGGGCAAAGTATAAATTTCGCATTTATAATATAAAGTAGTAGGACAATATCGCCTTATAATATCCACAGACCTCTATCTGCACAATTTTAACACTCATTTTTCGCTAATTATGAGTCTCATCATGCCTTGTAAATATAATAGGATGTGACGCCATTGCCATATACATACAAAACTTTTGATCATATCTTGGTTAACAAAACTGACCCCATCACATAAAAGGACTAAAAATACTAACATAAATGACAATTTAAAAAAGGTTATTAATGAAATGTAATGTAAGTAAAGAAACAAGTGTCTATGCATTGATAGAGTAAATAGTTACATATTTACATAATAAAAAGTGCTATAATGTGTTTGTTCAGAATGATTCATACATCTCCCAAACAGTCTGTTGCAACAATTTTGTGTAGTAAATACTGCAAATGTTATACTTTCATTTTAATTAACCAATTACGATTTGAAAGTGCATTACAATATTTATTTAAATTTTTCCTCTTTTACTTAAATTATAATTATTATTAACTTACAGTGACAATGAGATTTTTATTACAGTTTTTGTCACTATTTGACCATAAATCATTTTTAATTTACCTATAATAATAAAATTAGGAAAATCAAGTTTCTAATTAGTTATTAAATAAGTACATATGCAAAAATGTTTTTTTCTGAATTTAATGATACAGCTAATAAATAATAACTGTACCTAATCATTAACGAAATCAACATAAAAATCAATTTTTAATTTATAAAAGCAATATTTCGTAATGCCATAATACTCATTATCATTAATGTTTCAGCCTTTTAAACGGTTTTTAATTATATATTTATTCTTATCATCTCCAAATTCATTAATGTTTGCCACTTTGATATGAGTTTCCTCAACAAAGTGTCATTGTATTAAATAATCATATTTATGCATGATTAATTATGATAATTGGTACTGAGTTTGCAATTAATTTTTTTTAGAACATAACTGCTAATAGGAAATAGCGGTGGTCACCGGTGACCCCCATGGTATTTAACATGTTAATTTAAAAATGAGTCGCTTAACCACTATCTTGTTTTTTTTTTAATTTTTAATTAAGCCATGTATGGTGAAATTAGCCATTATTTCTCGTAAACATAATATCGATAATTGAAATATAAAGGAGAAAGGTATTAAAAAATTATTGATTCTTAATAAAAAAGAAATTGAGAACTGAAACAAATGTAAACCAGGATGAAGGGACAAAAAATTTAACATTAAAAAATACCACAAAAAAAATAACTTGAAAATTACCACAAAAACTAAGTCATTAACTAACTTCCATATTCCGAGACATTAAATGATTACGTAAACTTACTTCATTCCTAGACTAAGCAACCAATGATGAATGTATGTTATTTATAGTAAATATCTCTATTTACACCTTTACGGTCAAATGCACATTGTTTTGAAGATTATCTCCACACAACATGTTCTGTGATGACTTAAAAGTGCACGAGTCCTAAGTCACTACGGTGACCCAGTATCATATGCATTGTTTTTAATCTATGACATAAGGTGCAGTTTCATTGCTATTGTTTTGATATTTATTAACTTTTTTTTCCCTTTTAAATCCCTGAATGAGTATGCAAGGGTGTGCATGGGTAAACAATGTAAAAATTACTTTTAACCAGTTGTTACGAGTCCCATGTAAGGGAGTCTATTATTGGACATAATATCAGACTGCATATGAAAATATTTTTGGACAAACCAAGAAAATCCACTGAAAAGCTGTTTTATAACATAGCATGTTTTTGTTTATTTTTAAACATTTTGATGATATTGTTATTATAAAACGAAAATATGGAAAAATATGTTTTATAATTATCAAACACCAAGCGGTCACCAGTGACCGCAACCTATTGTTCTTTAATTGTGTCTATAAATACGGTACTCGACGAGTTAAACTATTGTGGTGGCCCGGAGGTTGAAGGCAGGTCCAAAACCTACCAACGGCAAGTACCAATGTGACTTTTTCCAACATATATGTACTTTCTAAGATTATTTAGATATCACTGACCAACAGTGAAAGAAAACATCGTGAGGAAACCTGGGCTTATAATTTCTAGTTATAAGTTTGAAATTCGCCAACCTGCATTAAGCAAGTGTGGTGGTTAATGCTCTAACCTTCTCCATGTGAGAATAAGCTTTGCTCAGCAGTGGGCATTTATAAGCTGTTGATGATGATAATGTTTTAAAAATAACATTGTTTATTTTGTTCTTTACATATGCAGTAATACACAGATATACAATCAATCTATTTGTGTCCTCTATGACTCATATTGTTATGTTATAAACATTTATGAAAATGTAGATCTAATGTTTGATTTTTTTTATTGAATTCATATTCATGATTTTAAAATAGTAGCATTTAAGTTAATGATTATTCATTTAATATCTTATGATTCATACTAAATTATTTACTAAGTCAGGTGCATAAACACCTACATTTTTTGACTAAATATTCAAATAATATGGAAATAAAGTAAGTGGTTCATTATTTAAATTTCATTGAAATATTTAAAATCAAAGTCCTAGATATTCCATTTCAATTATATAGGAACTAGATTAAATAGGAACTTCTTCTAAATAACATACATAGAAAAATACCATGAAAAAACACCACACCTGTAAAGGAATAAAAGATGTGGTATTTTTCATGGCATTTTTTATTCATGTTATTTTATGTATATCTGAGAACTAAAGGAACACAGAGATACATTGGACAAGTAACAAAATTCACCATTATGTAAAAAAATACCATGTTATAGAACATGAGCCTACTGTGATAAACTGAATATGATATTAAAGAATAGATTTTAACAACTCTGATAGCTTCATAAAATATTCATTAGTAATACAATTTGCTATGTTCACTACACATGAGACAGTTTCATAGCTAATTAGCCAATCAGAAACAGGTCACTAGGTTAAAGAATATATATCTATCAATAATATTTTAATAACATGCAGTATTTACAAACAATTATGGTTTTTTTAGTATAAGTTGAGTATTGAGTTTATCATAGTGTAAGAAGAAAAGTATGTGGGTGTGAGGATATAAAAGACAGTAGGTACCTTATTCTCGGAATCCTGGTCGGAGTGCTCAGAGTCACTCCCTTGAGAGTCATAGTCCGACTCATGCTGCCCACCATCCTGCAAACATCCTTCCACTTTTAACAACTGCATTTTCAACACAAAACAGTCTTGTTTACAACCTACGTGGCGGCAACGTTTCTAAAATTAAAGTCTAAACACATCAGCGGCGTTTCAGTGAGTGGTGCCCAATTCGTGACCTCAATATAACTAAAAGAAATGGACATTCCGTCACGCGAACGACCGAGAGAAAGTAAGCTGTAATACTTTTTAGCGCCAAAACGAAAGTTTACGCTACTGCGACTAGACCCTTTACTTACGTTCACGGAGATATTGTGCTCGATATCCTGCGATGCGTCCGAATATTCTCCGGAATCTTCGTGTTCTTGTCTCCTAGCCACGGCCGTCATATCGGCGTCCTCTCTCGTAACTTGCAGGACCTCCAGTTTGACTGCTTTTGTTGTATCTTTAACGGATAAAATGCAGCGTAATCGCGCTCGTTGTACCGTCGTTAATAAGAAATCCCCTCTCGTTTTACGAAAAATGAAATGAAAGAACGTCAAAACAAGGGGAATCTAGCGGCCATAAAAAAGTGACGTTTAGTTCGTTCAAGAGGTAAATACTGGTAACCCAAACACGTTGGAAAAAAATTATGACGAAAATTATAACTAAGTTCCTAAAATAACTTTTTTGCAAAGACTTCTTATTATGTTTGATAATAATTTTAGAAATTTAATAATGGTCATTTTTTTCTCAAAATTAAATTCTTGACTTTCAAATACAAAACGTAATACAAAGGCTGGCAACACTTTCGAGAATTGTCAATTTAGCTGGTATTCTCGACTGCATTACAAAATCCTTTTTTATTTTAATCTTACAAAAATACAAAAAGGTATTATGAAATCATTGAAAATTTTTATGTTGACCGACACTGAATTTATTTTGTATTATTAACGATATCGTTCTCATGCATTTCTTTCTCGCTTTTCTTTGATCGTTTTTTTTGTTCTGTGAAGAGAATTTCATCACAAAATATCGCTATTTTGACGTAACGGAAACGTCAAATGTCAGTAGGTCATCATTTTGTGTCAAACATACCAGTTTTTCAGGAATTATTGAAAACTTTCACTTTTCATAATTATATTAAATTAAATAATTTGAGAAACAATACAAAACTTAAATATAACACTATTTCAATAAACAGCTACACATTAAAATGGAAGAAAGGTAGATATAACGAGAAGTAGAACTGCAAACGTGTATTTATTTTGAACATAAACATTCATTTTATTGTTTAACTTTTTCAGCACCACTGCTGATGATGCTAAGACTGTCCAGCTTCTAGCTAAGGGTATTATGGAAATGTATGAACCTCCTTTGACGACCATAAATACTCATTTAAAAGAACTAACGTGAGTAAGATAGACTTGTAACTACTTATTATGTATGTAAACTTGGTCTAAGTTATATATATGTATTTATTTAAAATAGTTTTAAAAATAATTATTAATCATCCTTCATTAATATTGTCACGTCTGTATCCTGTAGGGTTAGGCAGAGATGATGGAATGCAAAATGAAATATTTCTTTCACTCACTTACCCCCAAATACTGAAAGGCCATCCAATTTTAAGTTGTACTTAAATATCGTGCCATCTCTGTAATATTATAAAGAACTAGCTTCTGCCCGCGACTTCGTACGCGCAATCCCGTTTTCTCCTGTTCCCATAAGATTTTCAAAATTTTTTTTTATCTTAAGAACCTTCTCCTGGCAATAACAAACACAATAAAAAAAAACAGCTAAATCTGTCCAGCCATTCTCAAGTAATGGCATGACAACAGGAAATGGGTTTCATTTTTATATATATAGAAGATAGATAGATTGTAGTGACTGGACTATATAACTATAATTAAGTCTGACTTAACTCGTCGAGTACCGGTTTTATAGACACAATTAAAGAACAATAGGTCGCGGTCACCGGTGACCGCTTGGTGTTTGACACATTAAAATATATTAGAAGTAATACTTTATTTACAGCTTTATGCATTACATATAAATACATTTTACGGCAAGGAATTATAAACTGTAATGACTTAAAACTGAGTAAAGGTAAAATTGAGTAGCCTTCAGTATTTGGACATTATATTCATCACTTTAAATATGTACTCATTGATAAAAGTAGTTTTTATTGAAAGGATGAATTTTTATTAGAACTGAGATATTTACAACATAAGGAAAGTAAAAAAATAAATAAATATCTACAACTTTAGACACACTATACCTTTTTATTTAATTTGTTAATAATGTATGTATGTACCTATTACCTGTTCATTAGTTGTTTGCAGTGTAAAAAAGTAAATTTGTTTTTACAGAGAAAAGCAAGAAGCAGTCCAAAGTATGCTCACCTCAGAGAAGAGAAGACTAGAAGATTTACAGAACGATGTTATGCTCGATGCGTTGGTATGTATTAAGTATTACTATTTACAACAATCGCCTTATAGACACGATTAAAGTACAATAGGTTGCGGTCACCGGTGTCATCGCGGTTTTTGACAGTTTAATTTACCTCTGGAGTCAGTGTTTAACTATTAAGTCAAAATTCATTATAACATAACATCACACCGTTTATCCCTGAAGAGTTTTTTTAAGGGGGAAAAATCATCGACTGACATCTTTCTGCCTGGGTGAGGCGGAAGCGAGTGTCAGACAATTACTGACTAAATACCGCCGGAAGCCCCGGTAACCCGTTAGGTTCTCCGCCTAATGGGGTAGGCCGATCTGCACATTATCTATGGCACTTAATGCCACTGTGCAATGTAACACGCACTTTTCAATATTTGTTTTATGAGTCCCATGTAATAGGAGGTGAGCCTATTGTCATATTCCAGGCACAAAACCAGACGCCGTGCTACTAAAAAATAATGATTACTGTTCTGCATGTTTGTCTTCTCCAATCAGTCTAGTAGAAATAAAATGGGATATGAGCTAGCAATATTATTTAATACATAGAAAGGAAATATCCTTTCTATAAGTAAATTAATAAATAGATAATTCTTTATTGACAAAAATTTAACACAGACAAGCAGAATTCCCTGACTCTTGACCTAGTTTACAACTTTACACTGTGGTACGAGGGCCAGTCCGTTCACCCATGAGTTTAACAATAATAAGAACACCATAAAAAAATTACAAAGATGTGTGCTTTTGCGTGTGTTTGCACGTACGCATGGGTGTGTGTGTGTGTATGAGTGAGAGAGATAAAGAGTGTTGGGAGTGATGCGTAAGTAGTGAGTGTGTGGGGAGTAAGGGAGGGGGGCACATGGTGGTTTTTTTTATCTATACAAGCTAATGGTAAAATTTTCTTTGTCTCAAGTACATGTGTGACTAATTGTTTTAATATATTTGTCGACAGTTGGCAGATATTGCAACAAACAGAGAGAAACTCGTCACAATATCTAACTCTATGATGTCATTGCATAAAAGGGTGCAGTCATTACAGGTAAACAAAACTATTTTTCTTAACAACTATTATTTATTTATTTGTTTTCAGCCATGATCATCCCACTGCAGGCAAAGGCCTCCCTACCCTCCTTCCACTCCTCTCTATGTATAGTTTATTGCGGCCAATCCTTGTCATAGATGTCTAATTCGACCCGCCATCTCCCTTTGGGCCTGCTGCGACGTCTGCTGACATATAACGTAATTATAATTCTTAACAACTAAATTATTTGAGTTAGGTATTTATTCTTATTTTTAGCTATGGTCGTCCCAAGGCAGGGCAAAGGCCTCCCTCCCCACTTTTCACTCCTTCTTATAGCTTTCTGTGGCCAATCCTTTTTATAAGTTAGGTTACAATCATTTTAATTAAAACACGCTTTTTTATAGAAATTCTTGGTATTGTGGTATACTTTTTTTTTTTAAGTGGGGAAAATCATCGAATGACTGCTCCCGCCTGGGTGAGGCGGAAGGGAGTGTCAGACTCTTACTGACTAAAAACCACCCCGTTCCTTCTCCTGCACGTCGAGCCGGAGCCCCGGTTACCCGTTAGGTTCTCCGCGACTCCGAATCGGCATCCGGAGCGGACCCGAGCGTACGGCGACGCGCCGTACGCTCGGGTCTGTTTCTGGTCGGACGGGGAGCCACCCATGCTCGCCGTCCGCAGGCCCGCGCTTACGGTGGCCGGAGATCGTCCCGCGATCCCCGACGCCCGGTGTGTCCTTCGCGATGGCTGGGTTGCGAGGAGGCAGCGAAGCGCTGCCTCACGCGTCCCGCCTCCTCCTTATTGTGGTATACTAGCTTCTGCCCACTGCTTCATCCGCGTTCCTGTGGGATAAAAACTTTCTATATTGTTCCAGACCACCTAAATGCACTAGTCGCCCGTATAATTTTTAAAAGTTCCCCTTGCTTTCCCTGGGATTCCATTATCAGATCCTGACTTCATGACAATGGGACCAAATGACAAACCTACCCCTTCAAACAGTCGCGGAGAACCTAACGGGTAACCGGGGCTCCGGCTCGACGTGCAGGAGAAGGAACGGGGTGGTTTTTAGTCAGTAAGAGTCTGACACTCCCTTCCGCCTCACCCAGGCGGGAGCATTCATTCGATGATTTTCCCCCCTAAAAAAAAAACAACCCCTTCAAACAAAAAAAGAACGGTCCAGGCGTCTCCGAGTAATCGAGTAACACACAAAAAAAATATAGTCAAATTGAGAACCTCCTCCTTTTTTTTAAAGTCGGTTGAAAACTAAGACTCCTAGAGCTCAAAGAACACTCGCTAGTAGACCTGCAGTAGATCAGCAGCACCTGGCGCTCACAACCTGCAGAGGCGCGTGCCTCGCTATGCCCTCCACCCCGCGCCGCTGCTGCAGATGCCGTGAGTCATGAGGGCTTGGCGGGACGCGCATCCAAGTTTTATACAACAAGGATTGTCTGGACCTACTCCCAAAGAGTCTCCTGCTATCTCTCGAAAATTATAGAGTATATTCGATAGGTTTCGAGTAACTCTCGAAACTCTCGAAACTCGATTGTTTTCGAGGACGCTCGACAGTTTTCGAGTAACCCTCGAGACTGATTGAGGGCGCTTGATAGTTTTCGAGGGCGCTTGATTTCGAGTAACTCGCAAGTGATCGAGGCCGCTCGATGGTATTCGAGGACGCTCGATAGTTTTCGAGGACTCTCGATAGATTTCGAGGACACTCGATTGTTTTCGAGGACGCTCGATAGATTTCGAGGAGGCTCGATAGTTTTCGAGGACGCTCGATAGTTTTCGAGGACTCTCGATTGTTTTCGAGGACGCTCGATAGATTTCGAGGACGCTCGATAGATTTCGAGGAGGCTCGATAGTTTTCGAGGACGCTCGATTGTTTTCGAGGACTCTCGATTGTTTTCGAGGACGCTCGATAGTTTTCGA